GCAACTGCATCTCATTACCCGTAAGCGAACTATGAGTAACTTCAACCCAGCTAGTACACAACGCAACATCTTCAATAAGCGACCAATTCGTACCTGCACCAGTAGTCATTTTGTTGAAAAAAAATGGATTCAAACTTTGAGACAAAGAAAGGAATGTGATTGAAAGTGGTTGAGAAAATATGAAATTGTTGTGAAGGTAGATGATAATGAGAAGGTATTTATAGAAAAGTAAAAACAATTTTTTTTACAATTTTTTTCAGATTTTTTTTTGAATTTTTTTGAATTTTTTACATTTTTTTTTGAATTTTTTTGAATTTTTTACATTTTTTTTTGAATTTTTATTCAATTAATTAATCTCTGCCGTTGGATATAAAAAAATTTGAATTCCAACGCTCCAGATTGTGCCACGTGTCACAACGGTAACTTTTCAGATTTTTTAAACTATTTTTTCATTTATTTTTTAATTTATAAAGCATTTTAATATCCACCGTTGATCTCAGATCGAACGGTGGATATTAAATCTGACAGTTTTAAAATTTTTTACCGTTGAGATCTAACGGTCCACATTAAGTGACCGTTAGGATCTAACGTACCGTGGGAAGCCACGTGGCTTCCCAACGGTAACAGACAAAACTTTTTTTTTTTCTGATTAAAGTGTCAGGACGCGCCCCCACGCGCGGGTGGGGTGCACGCGCCTGACACAAAAAAAATTAAATAATAGGCTGACGCCACCCTGGCGTCAGCATGGCGTCACTCCCACCCCGGGCTCAAGGCCTGTCAATTCCTCACGGGCCTGGCCCTCGGGCCTTCCCCTTCCCCTCGGCTTCCCAACGCTGGAGTTGATCCACCTTCACTCGGGCCTCCGTTTTGGAGCCCGTCCCCCGAGCTAAACCCCACGCTGGGGATGCTCTTAGGTAAGAACTGGGGCTATGGAGAGCCATGGGCTATTTATGTCCCATTAGAAATCGAATTTTGTCATTTGAAGGCTAAATAACATTTTTACTTACACTGATTTGCAGACATAAGGTATGCTCTAAGATTTTGCCAAAAATAAATTGAAAATAAGTAAGGTCTCTTTTTTCTCTGATGTTGATTTCATACTCTCGAAAAACTATACTAGTAGCTAGTTCGTATCGAACTTATGAATATAGCAAAAAGTTTAGAGTATGTTTAGTATTCTATTTGAATTTAATTTTTTAAACTTAAAAACAATTTTTAAGTTTTAGGCCTTAAAAACTTGTTTGGTATAACTGTTTTTAAAAACTGAACTCAAGACTAACTCAAAAATATAGTATATTCTTTAAAAACACAAAAAATGAGTTTTTAGAGTTTTTAAACTTAAACTCACTCTTTTTTTTTCTCTCCCTCCTCCCCTCACTCCAAAGCTATCTTTCTCTTTTCTTCTTTCTCTCTACCCTTCTCCCTTCTTCTTTTTTCACCTTTTTCGTCTCTCTTCCAATCCACACTCATTATTTTCTCGATTTTATTTCTATCACTCCTCTTCTTTTTCCTCTCTATCTCCTCCGATTCTCTCACTTCTTTCTCTTTTCTCCAATCATCTTTTACTTTCTTTCCTCCTCTCTCATCTTTCTCTCTCAACTCTCTATTTTTAGATCTCTTTGTCCAATTTAAGTTGTAAAATTTAAAATTTTTAAATCGCATACCAAACAAGTTTTTGAGTTTTAAAGAAAATTGTTTTCAAGAAAAATTCTTAAGAAATGTTTTGAGAAATTATAAAAAATTTCAAATAGGATACCAAACAAACCCTTATTTACATGTACTTTTCCAACGGAATGTGCCCCAACTCTTTAACTTGTTTGTTCATAATGTCATTCAACATTGTGGATCCCCTTAACTTCCATCACAGGCTTTGAGAAGGTTTTTACCGAGGCCTGCATCACGAGTGTTTTCTTTTGAGAAAATAAAATTTCTTAAGTTATGTCCCGTAATGTTTTATCAACGATGTGTCTTTAAATAAAACGCAGCTTTAGTTCTTCTTATTCACGTTTAGAGTTGGGATGGATGAATTGCTTCTGGCTAGACGAGCAGCAGAGCTTCTAATGGAGTTACAAAATACTAATTCAAATTTGGTTTTGGAGGGAGACACGAGTGTTGTGATTGCAGCAATGTGTCGTTCAGAGAATGATTGTTCATTCTTGGGACCTGTAATTAACGACATCAAAGAAGCTATACAAAACATGGATGGAACATCGTTGAACTTCGTGCGTCGGGAAGCAAACAATGTAGTTCATAGGCTAGCTCGTGTTGGCTTGAGTGTTTCAAGTGAAAATAGGTGGGTTGAATTTCTCCCGGATTTGATTTTAGATACTTTGTTAAAAGATAATCAAATGTAATCTTTACGTTATGGTGATGATAGCTATTACTCCGGAACATTTTTTTTCCTTTAGACTAGCTAAAATCTATAACAAGGTTTTATCGAAACCCGTATAAGCAATCTATTCTCTATTTGTAGATGTTTTTCGTATTAATGAATATCTTCCTTTCTTGAAAAATTGGGATAGATTTTTCTAACCTTTTTACTATTTATGCTGTCCAATAACTGTATTTATTCAATAGATCAGTTGCGATAAATCTTATTACTACCACACTTCAAATACGCATAAAATACTTTCGCACATTAAATAATAAAAAATAGAAAAATATTGTGGATAAACCAATCACACAACTTATAGCTCACTCTTAACAATAGAGAATTCTTGTTGGATCCTTTTTGTGGGGATCACCAGGATACTCTAATTACATTCGTTCATGTATTGTTTATATTCATTTTAGATAAAAAATTTACAATGATTTATAACCACATGATGTACGATAAACAAATGTGATTAGAAGATCCCCAGAATCCTCGCAAAGATAATCCAGCAAGAATCCTTTCTCACTCTTAACTACCCCAATTTATTATTTTCATTAAATAAAAATGTTGCACTATCCGACACCATAAAAAATAGATAATATATATTTTTAAATATTTAAAACCTCACATACAGGTATTTTAACATATATTTAATATTAAAAAATAAATAACAAATCTTCTTCCCTCCCCACCCTCTCTCTCGCCCTCCCTCTCTCCTTAAAAATAAAATTAAGAATGTTCATACACACAATGTGTAAGCAGATGCCAGTATAAATAAAAGTATTCAAAAAAACGAAAAATTCAATTATTGATTTAGTGTGATGTTATCCACACACTCATTTATAAACGTCTATCAATTTTCAATCGTCGAATTGAATGAATTCGATAACAGAAATTAAGAAATAGTGTGTGGATAATGTTTTTGAAGTTGGATAGCGTGAAAAACACATCTAAAACATTATAGCATATGGGGTGCTCTGGACTCCACAAGAGCTGAAACTCACGCCCATCATCTTATTTATCATTGTTAAATAAATTTATTTTTAAAATCCAATTAATGAACATATACAAATACAATGGTCTAACATTATCTTAAAAAAACAGAAAAACTAATGAAAAATCCTCTGTACTATTTAGTTTTATAAAAAATAATAAATAAGTGTGTTAGTAAATAGTATCCAGAAAAATCAAATGTCTTTTTTTATTAAAAATAAATAGTACCAAATTTTTTTGTTAAAACCCTCTAAAAAAATTGCACCCGCCTTTAAAATCTCACTGCGTGTAGATAAACCCCAGCCCACAGAGAGGTCCACTTGTTTGACTTAGATCTCACGTGACGGACGCATTTCTCGAGCGTGCTCCCTGTCGGTTTCGGGTGTTGGGCGACGTGGACGACTGACACGGGACGGTGGTGGTGGGATGATGGCGGTGGGTCCCGTCCGCGTTAGGTCGTCGTGGTGGCCCCTCGCTGGGGACAGTTTTGAGTGCTCCACGTGTCGATGGGTCCGTACTGGGACGAGGAAAATTGTAAGTGGGGGTAAATGTTGGGGAACATCCCTGTCTGCTTGATTTTATCTACTTTGAGGCTAGGCCATTAAAAAACAACACCTCGTCTTTAGTATAATTACGTGCATGCCATTGTTCTTTTTTGGGGGGAAATTTGACCTAAAATAGTTAAAATTGTGAGAAGAACGTCCGATACTATAATTGGGACATTTTTCTTTTCCAAAAGGGATGTGATATCCACACTCTATTTTACTTCTCACATATTTTTTTTAATTTTCGACCGTCAGATTGGATGAATTGAAGAAAATCAACGAACATAAATTATCAAAAGGTGTGTAAGAAGTAAAATAGGATGTGTGGCACACCTCTTCCAAAATTACCTTGAAAGGGAAGTATATGGTAACCTTTTAAGACTCTAGAATATGATGATGTGATCTAATTAAGATTGGGTGTCCTTATCTATGTTTTTATACTATTCATTACATTGACGTATTTTTTTTGATAAAATATTTCGTATTTAGAAGGTGACTGCAGTATATAAACTTTCTTTAACTTATGAGAAAAGAGACTCGAATTTGAGTTCAAAGAGACAAAAATGTTACTAAAATCAAAGTAATCTAACACCACAAATATCATTTTAAACAAGTTTCCACAATTGTGCTCTTTGCTTATACAAAAATATATGCGTATGAAACTCCTTTTCTATGATCTAAAAGGAACATTAAAATATAATTATTGGTGTTTATAGCACAAAAAACTAACTTACATTAGAGAGATAATAATTCATATATTGGCAGTGCGTGATTTGTATCTTACACGATAATTCATGATTGACTTATTATATGGTCATTTACCGCTATCTTTTTTTCCTAATTTTTTTTACTATTATAAATGGAGATGAGAGAATTCGAGACTATTAGATAATTTAGAAGAAAGTGAGTTTTAAACTCGGGACATATGGATAAAAACTCAACACCCTACCCACTAGAATATTGAACCACAAATAAAACTAAAAATAATTCGCCGTCTGTTGGAATCGAACCCACTCATTTAAGGTATCTCATTGCATGCAAATTCTCCAGTATCATAATGCTTACTTAAAATGAAAAAAAATCACCAATAAAAATAAAGCCTAATCGGATAAATAATCATCATGGTCATAAAGTAATTGGAAGATAACTTCCATGATATTACCCAAAAAAAAAAAAAAAAAAAAACAAAGATTTAAACCATCGTGCTGTAGTCCGTTAGCAAATTTAGTATAAAAGTTATTTTTCTGTTAAATGTCTGTTAAATGCAAGGATAAAAATGTACTTTAACATGTGTACACCGTCTTCTTCCCCGTCTCTCTGCTACGTTTGTAATTTGCATTTTCAGTCTTCCATTTCGGGATGCTGTACTTTTCATTATCAACACCTTCCCCAAAACAAAATATCCTGCAAACCCACAACTATCAACACAAAACCCACTTTAGAATTTCAATCAAAACCCATAATTTAAACTGAAAATATGACTTTAGTCTGACTTTAGTCCATGAAACTTATTTTTCTCCACATAAAACCCGACATAAGTTTTCTACTGGAATAAAACCCATTAACTAGATTCCACATCATCAAATTCATTAATTATATTTGACTTTACACATTTAAAATTTTTCAATGCCCAAAACACCCCTATTTGAAAGTTTGATTTACACAATTAATTCCATACAAATTGTAAGGGAGAATTAATGATTTTACAAAACTAAAAAAATAATAAATTCATTGCATAATAAATAATAACAATAAAAATGCCTAATAAATGTAGTAATACATGCTTAGTTAAGTCAATAAAAATTATATTTTACATATAAATGTAAGTAAATTATTTCGCACACACACATATATATAACAACAACAAAAAACGTGCATGATATACATAAAAATTCATGCAAAATAATTTACCTACATAATAAAAGCAAACCCAAATATATGCAGAATAATATACCTACATAAAAAAGAATGTTATTATTTTATTCAATACTAGTTTACCTATTATTTGTACATATAATAATAAAATGTGCTCAATACATATGATGATACATACAAAATAAAATACCTACATAATGAAGAAATGTTATTTGATTCAAAATTAATTTACTTGCAAAATAAAGCAATTGTATTTTATTCAAGATTAATTTACCTATTATTTGTACATATATCTTATAACAATAAAATGTGCCAAATATATGTAATAATACATGAAAAATAAATTACCTACAAAATATATGTTATTTGCTCATCATAAATTTAAATATAGGAAGATTAATTAGTTTAATATGTTTGATCATATATGTAGTACTGTGCAAGTATATGTGTGTGTGCGTGTGTGTGTATATATATATATAATACTAATACTATACATTCATATAGGTAAACTATATATGTGTACATATATATATATATATATTAAGCTTATGGTAGTAATATATACATTTGAAGTATATATGTGTGTGTTAGGGGTAATAATATGTGCAATAATTATATTTTTTATTGTAATTAAGGTGAGTAATAACTTAAATTTTGAATTGTTACACCTTTTCTTACTGGTAGTAGTGGATTTTGTTACTGAAGTGATTTTTATCCCGTCTCAAAAAAAACAAAAATCAACTAAAGTTTTCACCTTTTTGTAAGTGGGTCTGAAGAGCCTCTCAATAAAAGCAACCACAAACAAGTCAAAGAGCCATGGAGCCACGCCGAGGGTGGCCCAGTAATACGACAGGGCGCTCAGAATCAAAACAGCACCGGGGGCCGTGAGCATCAAGTCATCGGATTTGGGGACCAGTGCTTCTATATATGATGTCGCCGCACTCCATCACCGTGCATAGCAGCCCCAATCCCACACCCAGAAATATGTTGTGGATGGCGTGGATCAACTCGCTGCCGCCGGATGCGAACACTAGCAGCGTTTTGGAGTTTGAAATTGTGATTCTTGATGAACTAGGTAGCTGGGATTCAGGGTTTGATTTTGAGTTTTCTGCTGAGAAATGGAGAGGTGGGTTTTGATTGGTGAGGACGGAGCTTGGCCACTCCGATGAAGGGATCCATGTGCTTGCTCATGTGCAAGATGCAAAATACAGCATCTCGAAATGGAAGAAAGTGAAATTACAGAGAGGGAAGAGGAAGGTGTACGGGTCAAATTACATTTTTATCCTGTGTTCAATGGACATTTAATGGTAAATTACTTTTGAACTAAATTTATTAACATAGTAACACCATATCACAAGGCTTATGTTCCAATTACTTTAGCATCACGATGATCATTTATTTGATTAGACTTAAAAATAAGGAAGTTTTAACAGAATATTTCTGATACTGTTCATTTTTAACAAGAAAAAATATTTTTACTTTAAAAAGTCATTCTTAATACTATTTGCCTACAACATTTTTTCATTTTTTTTATTAAAACTCAAAATTTTCAATTTTTTTTTGTTTTTTAGTTTTTCTTAAAAATAATACCTAATCCCGTTAAAAGTGAAAAGGGTAACGGTAATTTGGTAAAAGCGTGGGTCATGGTCCCATTTTAACCTTATCCTCAAGCGAAATCCCAGCTATGAAAGTGGTGTAGTAGTGTCCGCCAGGTCACGCACGCAAAAAGCATTAAGTTAATCAAAATTAAAAGGGAGTATTTTTCCTTACCATCATTTAACATGTTGTATACTTACTATTCTATTTATCATTTTTAGATAAGTTTGAATTTCAAAATTCATGTAATAAATAAACATAAATATCAAAATTCAAATACATCACACTAAATGGTAATGATAAAAAATGCAGTTCAGCTGTCATTTATTAACGCACGGGGAACCGCAACGCGAAACCGCGAACCGGCCCAGCTGTCATTTATTAACGCACAGCTCACTTCGGTCCACTTTTTAACGTATAGTTTCTATAAAAATATTTATAGAAAAATATTATTTTGGTGTCTCTCTTGAAATCAATATTTATAGTGAAGAATACATGAACGTGTTTCTAGTGTTTTAATCTTTTGCCAGCCGATTAATATTAAGTTCAAAATAGTGAGTAACCATATTTCGATCATTAAATGAGCAAAATAAGGAGACTTTGAGTTTATAATCTTAATTAGTTTAATATGTTGCAATTTTAATTAGTTTTTTTTTTTTTTTTCAATTTTGCATGATTTGATCATTGAGATCTCATTTTTTGATATGTTTTTCGGGTTTACATTTGCAGAAAATTTAGTTTAATTGTTAATAATTTCACATCTCAATTGCAGATAATCTTATTTTATCTGAACATGTTAGTCAATTTTTTAATTTGGACAAATTTTTCAACGTGCTCTAAAACACAAGTAGATACACTATATGTCGTTCTACAAGTAGAATAACATTTCAAAAAAAAGAATTCTGAACTTAAATAATGACTTATGAAGTACAACGACATATTTCGGCATTTGAGAAGATCTCTTGTTGATTAGAAATCATATATTATTTCTTGTTGTTAGGGGGAAGTACGTTGAACCTCTCAAGGTTAACTGAACATTGCAAAAAGCCTTTTCATGTGTAGATTATCACAACCCTGTCACTACTGGTGTCCACATAAAAATAAAAATTAAAAATTAAAAAGTGGTGGGTTGTTGTGTTAATTTAATTACTAATTCATTGTCTTAATGAAAGCCGATACAATTGGATGAAGTAGAGTTCAATTTAATAAACAAGTTATAACATCTTCAAAAGAAATATCAAATCCTAAATGAAAAGTCATTTAATCAAATTCGAAAGCAAGAGCAAACTCCAATCGATATGTCAATCTATATTTGACATCTCTATTAGAAATGCTCTAAGGACACTTTGTATTAAATCTAAACAAGTAGCATAAAAAATTAGTACGTGATTAGGGAAAATATTAAATTACAGTATTGGAGGATAATATTAATTAATAAAATTTGTGGAAATGCTTTTCACTCTAAAAATGCTTAACCAAAAGGTGTTTAGGTTAATCATGCTGGAACTCGATCCTCTCCTGAGCTCAGGATGGGGATCTTCATAAGCAGCCCATTCGGATCGTTCATATTTGATCAAACGGCTGCAATTATTATAATTTTTAGAGGACCCCTTATTTGTAACTGTTTGATCAAATTTCAACGGTCCGGATGAGCTGCTCAGGAGAATCCCAATCTTAAACTAAAGAGAGGATCCAGTTCCAATCATGCTAACCCTTTTCGTTTTGGTGACGGAATTGCCTCACCTACGCGGCTACACTCACCGAATATTGTATCTCTGGTTAAATTTAGGTTGCCTTGAATTTGAAAAAGGGCAATCAACAAACCAACATGTGACAAGATTTAACCTTTATAGTTACGAACTAAATGAGATAAGTCTAATAGCGGCGCGGCTTCAAGTGGCAGCGATAGTGCATATTATATTAGGCAGGTGTGTTTTCTTAGGGTTTGGTTCATTGGAGTTATGGGCTTGGCTTGTGCTAGTGCTTAATTTTGGTGACATGGACTTTCAATTCACTATTTTGATAAAATTAAAAACTTTTGATCAATTCATTTCCTTGATTTGTTCCACAACTTTTTTTTTTTTCAACTTTTCTTTTGTTTTTACTAAAGTCGTTGCTTTAGTAGTTGTATATTCTTCGTCGCATAACGGCTCGAACAAATTAGATATTTTTTTTTATATGTATATAATCGAACCCAAAATCTCACGTATAAAGGTAATGCTCTTAAACACTTGAATTACAAGTACCTTGTAGCAAAATATGACTTGTTAAATTGAGTTTCGAGTTAAGTTGAATAATAGTTTATGAGGTGTGGTTAGTCATAAAATATTTAATAGTTGGTCGTAAAATATTTATTAGAGTTATCCAACATTTATTTATTAACAATTAAACATGGCCCAGAAATTGACAAAATGTGCAAAATGATCTTCTGCACCTAAGACTCTCAGCGACTTATCTCATTTGTTGATACCTGATCGTTCAGTTAAACTTCACTTAACAGTGTTAAGTATTCAACTTATCTTCTCAATAAACAGATTAAAAACTAATGATAAGTTAAGTTAAAAGGATACGTGTCACTCAAATAAATAGGTCACAAAGAATCACATAGCGTTTTGGCCATAGAAGATTTGAACTCAGATAACATCTAAACTAAATATTAATAAAACACTAATTGTCAACCAAAATCCTATGAAATTACCCGTTTAACTCTTTAATTAAAACTGAACATGAATAAGAAATATAGGCAGAAATGTAATTTCACACAACCAAATTTTTTTTTTTTTTCAAAACCTCACCTACATGTAATTCTAACATATCTTTATTTAAAAACTAAAAAAACTAAAAATAAAAAATAAAGCCTCTCCCCGCTCCCACATTCTCTATCAGTCTTTTCCTCTCTCCTTCTACTTCAAAAACAAAAATAAATTTTTTTTACACACACTTTGTGTGCGCCCATTTGCTAGTATCTCTACTAATTAATAAAACACTCATTGTCAACCAAAACCCTATGAAATTACTAATTTAACCCTCGAATTAAAACATAACATGAAAATAAATATGGGGCAAAAATGTAATTTTACACAACCAAATTTTGTTGTTTTTTTTTTCAAAGCCTCATTTACGTGTAATCCTAACATATCTCTAATTATAAATAAAAAACTTTCCACTCCCACGTTCTCTATCACTCCCTTCCTCTCTCCATCTATTTCAAAAACAAAAATAAAAAAATTTCTCACACTTTGTGTGTGCCCATATGCTAGTGTAAAATATAAGAAGGCTTAATAGGATTATTAGTTCATGTAGTAATAGGGTAGTTGGATGATAACCCTTGTGATAAAAAAAAATTAGGATTTAAGCCTCTTTGGTGAAATTTGTTATGATTTAGGCCCAAAATTGAAAATTTTGTTAACTCTCCGTTAAGTGAAGGCTCACATGTGAGATTAAAAAGATAAAGTTAGCCACACGTGTAGCCCCATATGCTAACTAGCTTAATATGTGTGGCTCTCGTGGTAATAATTAATGGAGAGTTGACGAAAATTTCAATTTTTTGGCATAAATCCTAATACACTTCACCACAGTGACTTAAATCCTAATTTTTTTTATCACATGAGTTATCTTCCAATTATCCGATCACTACAGGACTAATAATCCAATTATACCAAGATAAGAAATTAATTATTATGAATGATATTCGGATTATCTTGTAATTATATATTTTCCTTATTTAGTTCAACAGGATAGGGTTGAGTTGAGTGGCTCCACTGTCATATTCAACAAGATAGGGATCCCATAACGAAAGCAAAACTAAGGTACGGTGGATGTTGAGGTTTTAAATGTTCGGTGATTTCTTGAAATGAAATAAAAAATTGAAAAAGTGTTATCCTTATCCACAACATCAAAACATGTGACCTTATTATACAGAAGAAAACGTCCCGGAAAAAAATATAAAGACCGATGAGCACCGCATTAGGAAAAAAAATTGTGTAGATAAACATATCCATAAAACGCTTCTTTATAAAGTGAAATTTTTTTGTCTATCCAACCGACTTCGTGTATTTTCTATTTAATATAATAGTTGCTTTATTTACAAGAAATCTTACTGAATATCTAGTAGCATATCTCTACTAATTAATAAAACATTCGTTATCAACCAAAATTCTTTAAAATTATTAGTTTAATTCTCTAATTAAAACATAACAAGAATAAGAAATATGGGGCAGAAATGAAATTTCAGACAACCAAATTTTGTTTTTTTTTTTTAAAGCCTTACCTACGTGTAATCCTAACATATCTCTAATAAAAAATAATAATAAAAAAATATAAAAAACTTTCCACTTCCACATTCTCTATCACTCTCTTCCTCTCTCCTTCTATTTCAAAAACAAAAATAAAAAAAAATTTCTCACACACTTTGTGTGTGCCTATATGCTAGTTAGAAAAATAAATTAAGGGACTCGTTTGATAACTATTTTGTTTTTAATTTTTATATTTAAACTAAAATTTTGTTTTGGAACTATTTTATTTTAATTAAAAAAAGACTGAAAATAAAAAAGTAGAAACTAAATGCCAAACTTAAAAAAAAAAAAAAGTTTTATTTTCCTTTTCTAAAACAATTAATAAAAATTGGAAACTGAAAATAATTATTAAAAAATTAATTTAAAAATTTTGAATTTTTAAGAATAAACACAAAATAATTATTATACGGCTCCAAACCTGAAAAAAATAAGATTTAATTTTCAATTTTTAAAACAAACAAAATAATTATTAAAAGCTCCAAAGAAAACCAAAACTGAAAAAACCGTAACAATACGTTCCAAGGGCATTATAGTAATTTTAAGATTCGGAATTCTGAACGCTATCCAAAATAAAATAATCCAACCGCGGTAAAAAAAGAGAAAAAAGAAAAAGAAAAAAAAAGGCTCACTGGACCCTTATCCTCTCTCTTTCTCTCTCTAAAACTTTCTTACTTTGGTTATATTTTAACATTCCGATCGTTCTCTCATTCTTTACTGCTTGTAACACCCAACGCAGCCTCTCTCTCTCTCTCTCTCAACTCCCAACTCCAACGCTTATAACCATTTCGCCGTTCTCCGATATCCAACTGACTCCGATCGCCGGACCTCACCGGAGAGGTAAGCTTTCGTCTTCCCTGTCTGATCCGCTGCTCACTCGTTGCGAGTCGGCTCCTTGAATTTTCCTTGCGGTCTGTTTGGTTCCCGTGAATTTGTGTGAGAAAACCATGACAATTACGAGTCTTGATCTCAGTTTCCTGAATTCACGCTCTTCACTCGTCTTCGCACCACTACTCGCGGCCTTGCCCCGTTGCTCGCGAGCTTTTTATTTTCCCGAACTGTTTTATTTTCTGGGGAACCAAACAGACGGTACAAAGGTTTAAACCGAAATGATTTTTCTTCCGGCCGTTTGGTTTATTGAAATTTTGTATTTTTTTGAATGATTTTTACAGGTTTTGGAAGGAAGTTGTTGATTGAAGCTTCGTACGGGACTCTTAATTTCACATGTAAATTTAATTTGATTCAGGTATTGCTCACGCCTTTTTTTTTTAATAATTTTTTTTTATCACTGCGATCTCCGTTTACTTGTAATCGTAGCGTATAGCTTTCAGAACGTACTGTTTGTGCTATTTTTTGGTATATAAATTATTATTTTTTCGTTTCGAAAACAAAAAAGATAAGAATTTGAAACATTGCTGCTTTTTTTTGTCTGAAAACTAATTTTAGGAATTTAGAATAAAGGTAATTTACTGTGCCGGAGACAATGTCGCCGAATTCGACGGGCCGGGATTTTATCTGTTGAATTTGTAGTGATTTGTGAACTATTATTGATCATTGATCTTCTTTTGGGTTACTTTTGTAATATGGAATATTTTGACTTGGTTGGATGTTGCTGCCATCCGGAAAAGGAACAAAGAAAGAAATTAGTTCTTGTATGCTAGTGTGT